TCTTCGCACTTAATCCTCTCAGCGTTGTGGATGGAAAATTCCGTATAGATGGAAGGCTTTCGTATTAAATACTCGTATACGTGGAAATTTCTGCCAGTTTTTAATGTATCCGATTTTGGACTGAATGAATACTGGAACAAAAGGAATCAAGGTACAAAGTAAGAGAGTCGCTTTTTATTTATGATAAAAAATACCATTTATTTATGACATTTTGAGGAGCTCTGAAATTTCAGGGATTTAAACCATGAAATTCAATTCAATAGCAATATCACAAAATATTTAAAAAGAACATGTCTTTAGAATTTCCGATATACAGTCTCGCGTGGTAGAGATAGAAAAAGTTTTCTTTTCCATACAGTTTTGCCACCGCTCGCTTTGAAATCATTTTGTTTGTTAATCAAAAATTCGTTAAAATTTTACAAAATATGAAATAGATAATAAAGCCAACTCCAAATTCCAAATCCTGGCCTCCAGATGCCCATATTCGTTTGGAGGACTACTTTATTCAAAATTTAATGTCTTTAGGTACCGTTGTTTTTTAAAAGTTCGAGAAACACACACATTCATGCAGAATTTTCATTATTTAATTTCTTTGAACATAATGCAGGGCTCTAATATTTGGTGGAAATAATTTGAAAAATAAAATGCCGTTTTAATGTGGACAACGCAAAATGCCAAAAGGAAATTAATAGCCCTTCTGTGCAAATTGCTCATTTGAGGTAAAAATAAATATGTTTAAAATTTCAAAATCCATCCCATATTCTGTTTGGAATAAATTGCATGCAAAACCAAAAAGTGCATATCTCAAGAATACATCAAAAAGTAGGGGGAGAAAACATGGCAAAGTGAAAAATGAAAAATTATGTTTACATTTTTCCGTGCATCATCATCAGGAGGTTGGTGCAACGAAAGAAGTAAAATAACCTGTTTCTGAAATTACAACGACACAAACTAATATTTAAAAATAAAATAGTAAAACAAAAGTTTCGAAATACAATCAAAGCAATCTGTGCCTTTATCAGTCCAACCCCTATAGAACCAAATTAAGTTCAGAAACACGTCATTTTACTTCTTTCATTGCACCAACTCTCTAATGACGATGCAGCAACAATGTAAATATTTTTCAATTTTCGCTTTGGCATGGTATGTTTTGTTTCCTCATTTCTCGAGGTTTGCCACTGTGCCTCTCGCTTTTGGTTTTAACATGTCGTTTATTGCGAATTAAATACAGGGGGAATTTTAAAGGTAATTATTTATTATTTTTTACTTTATTTTGCGTTATTAGCGCCACTTGTTGGTTCTATCAGCGCACAATTTGATTGGGATTTGAAATGTTTTTTACTTTGCATTTATTCCTTTATATATGTGTGTCTCTACGTGTGTGATGATGATTTATTTTGTTGTAGGTAACTTGATATTAGATGACAGCTAGATTAGGGAAGGCACCAACTCATTTTTTGTTTCTTATTTGAAAACCTGCTGTGTAGGCTACTGGAATTTGCTGTGTAATGGATGACTGGATGCAATTTTGGAAGAAACATGACCAGCTTAGTATTTAAACATAATTTATTTTCGGATGATGAATTTCTTATCACATATTTTCTTAACTGATCGACTAATAGGAGCGAAAAACTCGCCCACAATTTTAAATAAGCCATCACATCTTACATAAAGGAGAATAACTAGCACAGGTGGGCGGAGTTGCATCATGGTTGCATCAGGAAGGTGGGGTGGTGAAAGAGGATACATAGTTAGTTGCAGTACTGTTTATAAGATTGAAAATTCTTTGTTTTAACTCTGCGCAGCGACTGCAAAAAATATTTCGCACTGTGGTTACTGCAGGGAAAGCGTGATGTAACATGGTTCAATTATGGAGCCTTGAAGTGGGGATGTATGCATTTAAATTTAATAATTTAGAAGACCGTTCCAATTCACTTTAATTTAGTAATAAATTTTTCTTCATAGTTTTATATTTTACACACACACACACACATATATACAGGTTTCGATGTTTCAGATTGTTACCCTTTGAGACGTCGTTCTGGACCATAAGAATATGAATAAGCTATAATATATTTTAAATTTTAATATTACTGGTACATCCACTTAAATAATAAAGAAATATTAAAAAAATATCTTTAATATTGATTCGTATTTAAAAAAAAATATAATAGGTTTCCTTATACAACTTCAGAATCTTGCTAAGATGGTTTAATCTACCTCTACTAAATCACTAATTTCATATTACGACTAAATCACTTCTACTAAATCACTAATTTAAGTTTTTGATACAAAGAGAGAGAGAGAGAGATCTTTTATATGTATTAGTTTACCATACTTTCTGTAAGGAGTGCATGTATAAGCTTTCTGCACTTTCTGATGTTTGGTAATAAATTTGGCCATATTTTAGTCTTTCAAAAATATAATATCTTATTTGCAAGTTATAATACCAGTTATATACGAAATAAAAAAGGCCAGAACTTTTGGTAGTATACAAATGCTTTCACTGAATAAATTTGTTGCAAATTAGAGGATTATAATTGTAATAAACATTTTAAATAATTTTACTTTGTATTAATTACTAATTTTACAAATTTAATTTATTTAAAAATTTGATCTGAGATAATATATACTATATAATTGTTAAGCGAAGTAAGTAAATATTCAAGGAAATTAACTGCAATAATATTTCAACTGGATTCTTACTTAGACATTTTGCTTGTACAACCATGAGAAATATAGCAACCACAATGTAAGGAAATATTATTCTTATGAAATGACTCAGCAGCGGAAAGATAGCTTTCCCTCAGAGTGGAGTTAGGGTTGCCACATTTGGAGCGAAATTGCCAAATTTGGCGCTGATTGTTTCCGCATGTTTGTTGTAGTTTTTCGAAGAATGTAACGTGTCTTTGGAACTGTCCTGTGTAATACTGGCGAATAAATTGTGTTTTGATTCTTCATCAAGTGTTCTCATCAATTACTCCAATCCTTGAATCGATGGAAAGCAACAATATTATTCAGAAGTGAAAAAAGACTTTTGAAAATTTTAGTACTTTTATCATTTTTAATCATCACAATGTAGAAAGTGTGTGCGTTAGACATAATTTTAAAAATCATATCGAATCTTTCAAGATATCGGTTTTTACAGCATTAACTTCGTTGACTGTGCTTGGATCAGCTGAAAAGGATGAGTGTTGGGGACTGCATATGAGTAATATGATTTGTTCTTTTCGCGTATACTATGCTTCTTCTATGAGAGTGAGTTCGTTATGTTCATTGTTTTAACTAAATGCATAAAACTCAGTGTGTTTTAATAAAATGCATAAAACTCGGTGTGTGCTAATAAAATGCATAAAACTCTGTGGTGAGCTATTAAAAATTAAGTGAAGGACTCGTACTTAATACAAATTTCTAATTTAATGCTTTGTTTTTGCAAAAGTAGGAAATACAAATAATTGTGACTGAACAAAAAAGATAAAATTAATTCTTTTCTAAATAATAAAATATCACAGTATGGGCCACACTTTAAACCAGAGGCTCTCATACATTGTTTCTTTTACTTCAGTTATTCATTTAGAAGGTTTTTAATAACAAGCTATGGTTGTTCAAAAACTTTTTTTTTATTTAAGGTTTAGGATTAAATTCCTTTACAGATTTATTTGTAGTCTCCCATTTAAATAGAATATCATTAAACCTGTAATATATTGAATACCCTTAGAATACTTTTTTGCTGTGGAAATACAATTCATCGAGGTCAAAGCTCTTTCAGCTTCAGGGGTATTAATAAAGCGATAATAGCTTTTCAGCTTCAGTGTTCTTTCACACTGTTAGGAATTTCGTTATGCAGTTTTCTTGTTAAATTCATCTCCAAGAAATCTCACAAATAATTTATTTTCGCTTCATTCATTAAATTTAATGTTTGTCAAAGTGTGATTATGATATGCAAGACATTTTTTCCCTTGCAATAATTAGCAAGCAAACAAAAGAACAAGTGGCTTGCGAATTACAGACAAATTTAAGGAAAGGCTCTCGCGAGACATTTTAAATCTACTACAACTCACCATCGATAAAACTTGAGTATCAGACCCTCCACCTAAAAAACAAACGCTCTAAACAACGCTTAAAATTTGAAGAAAGGAAATCAAAGATTTTTCAGCAAATTCCTGCTTCGAAAAAAATGATAGCAAAGGGAAAATATTAAATTTACTAATGGTAGTAGAAATGAATGTCATTAGTTTGCCAGAAGGAGAGATTTTATGCTGTCTCGGAGTTTATCCATATCTGAAATGATCGCGATAGGCGATGATAAAGTGAATAATTGTATTATAAAGTCTTTTAATTCAAACATAATTTGAGTGCAGGTTGATTCATTTATATGCATAGTTTAGAGTTTTCTGATTATAAGTAATGTCTGTTGCATGTAACTAAACAAAAAGTGCAGATTAATTAGGCACAAAAATCGCATTATGTTTTAACGTTTCGAGTAATTTTTATAGTTCTTTTTTTCAATTAAGTGTTGTGACGTATCTCATTTCTTTGACAATAACATTAGAAGAAGCCCACGAAAATCATTGTGGCAAGGAGAGCAAGATTGCGCCTGTCGTTGGCAAGAGCCTTGAGCACAATAAAGGTTTACAGTACGACTTCGCACATTTCCGACTCCAGTTTTGATGGACAGCAACCCTGGGGGATGGGTCCGACGGTCTTCTACCCCTTTTCACCTACCACTAACCTCTTAAGAAGACTTTCGGCTCGCCATCTATTTAGAGTGATCACGTGCCGCAAAGGCACTATACATTTACAAACATCCCTGCCTTCTCCGGGATTCGAACCCGGGTCTTTCGGTACCGCAATGAGCTCTCCTAACCACTATACTCTCTGGAGGCTTTGAGGATTCCCTTAATTAAGTTAGGATAATTAGAGGGAAAACGTTTAAAGGAAGAGCATCAAAAATGTGCTTAATTTAAAAATCCTTACAAGGAAGAAATATGCTTACCACTTCAGATTTTTTTTCTTCACTGCCGTTTATTTTCTCTGTCTTGCAGCAAACAGAAGTGATGGCTGAGGAAATTTACGACTTGTGCATTGTTGGTGCTGGTTTGTTTGGATCCGCCGCCGCTAGACATGCTTCAGCGAATGCAGCTTTGAAAGTTTGTTTGATAGGACCTGACGAACCAAAGGTAATACCAATCACTTACAATGAACAATTTATATTAAAGATGAAAATATAAATTTATATTAAAGATATAACTTGGCTTTGAATTAATTATTAGTATATTTATTCTCTCTGTTTACTGCTATACAAAATTAATTACATAACACTTTAGAGGGCTTTATATATGTCTAATAACTTACCTCTTTTTTAGCTTACGTCTATTTCCATTTACGTTTACTTTTTCATGAAAAACACAAGACTATGTAAATCCTTAAATATAAATGCGAATAATATAGAAGAACGACAAAAAGTTTGATATTATTGCTTTAATCGTCTCAAGAATGTGAAAAAAAATAAGTGAAAAAGTTATCAAGCAATTAGAATTAAAAAATGCAATATCTAACTAATTTACAGAAATTAGCTTCTTAAAAGTACAAAATTAAAAAGAAAAATGCTTGCAAGTCTCGTCAGTTTGGTTTGGTTTAGTTTTATTACTTATGGAAAAGCATAATAGGGTTATTTGCCTAAGGGGAGAGTTGACTTCATGGAGGACTTTCTAAGGCAAACTGGCTCGTATACATGTTACACATGGGGAAAACCAGGAAAACGCCCATACAGGCGGCACATTCGCCTGGAATCGAATCCAGGTTGGAACACCAGGGGTCAGCGATTTTACCCCTCAGCCTCTGGTGAGCCTGGCGGTTTCGTCAGAACGAGCGCTTGAAGCCAGATTAAAAATATTATTCATTTATACAAATTAATTTTTCCAAATTGGTTTTTGCTTATATAGTATTCCTTCAAATACAGTACTCCAGTTACATTTGAAGTAAATATGTACATTTTAAGCAATAGCATTCGGACGAAACAAAAACTGTAGCAATATTTCTTACAAAGATTTATTAATTCCATAAACTATTGTTTCATTATAACATGTTATATTGTTGCAATTTAACCATCTACGAGGAGAATATTTTACACACAGGCAGAAGAAAGACAGCAGCGTGACATCTTTTCATCGTATTATGACGAAGGAAGAATAACACGAATTCTTGATGACGATCCCGCTTGTCAAATGTTGTCAAAGCATTCTATCAGAAGATATCAAGAGTTAGAAGAATTATCTGGTAATGTAAAATAATTTTACTTAATATGCACATCATTTGAATTTGAGCCAACACGGAAATAATCTCTAGTTTTATTCAAATAAAACTCAGAGATAAGAAGGTGGTGTCAAAAAGTTTCCAGACTAGCTCCGTTTACCCGTTGTACCTAAAGTTTCATCAGCGGTAGTGATCCTCGAAGTGAAGAACGGGTCGTCCACGCCACGCTGAAGACGTTCTTAGGAAGTTTCGACGCGGTGTTCTTTCTGCTTCTGGATCAGCAGTTCGTGAACGAACGTAGCTGCAACACGGCGCATGTTCAAATTACACGTCAGGATTGCCTGTACTGTTCTGTATGACACACCGACAATGGCAGCAGTGTCACGGATTGTTCTCCTACGATCCTCATCAACAAATTGTCAAAATGGTTTCGACAGTTTCAGATGTTGTGCGCGGTGAAAGTCGTTCTGAACTTTCGTCATCTTCTAGTGATTTCTTTCGAGTTTGAAGCGCGCGTGCCACTCAAAACACCTTGAACGACTCATTGTAACATTGCCGTGCACTTGCTGAATCTTGTTTGTGGTGGATTTGCCCAGTTTTACACAGAATTTCAAGTTCGCTCATTGTTCTAACTTGCTGTCCATAATGAAATCTCAGACGTAGTAACGCACCTGGTTAGAACAGCATCAGCTGCAGAACTCCCGATGCATAAGTGATAAGTGGCGGAGGACGCGAGCACCACCCCTTGCCGTGTTAACAGAAGTAGTCTCGAAACATTTTGATATAACCTTGTATTTTTTAATCCGATATCTCTAACAGATCCAGAAAGACTGAATAATTTTAAAAGGTACAGGAAGAATTCAATAGCGTCGTCTCAAAGCATTAACCTTTTAAAATAAGAGATGTTTTGTTTAAAAAGGAAACTATTTACTTTTAATTCCAAAAATATATTTCTGAAGCGTTTAAAGTAAAATTTTGAAATTAAAAAAGAATAAGATAGAGGAAAATCTCACATTATGTCAAATTAATGAAAAATAGCTGAAATACTGAAAAGAAGAGATGAAAAATTATAGGAATGATGAATGTGTGTTTCACACTGAATGATGAATGTGGTTTTAAAATTAATTTGAAATATTTTCAAAAGGCATACCAGTGCAAACGTGCATTTGCAAATGAATATTATTATGACGGTTTAAATTATTGGAAAAAATTAAAGCATACTTTTATAAGGAATTATATATATTTCCTTGATTCGAAATGCGAAATTATTCAAGAATATTTTTTGACTTACAAAATGCAGTTTTTAAGAAACATATCAAATTTACTAGTATAGAGAAAAGACTTAAATTTCATAAGTCAATAGTTTGCTTTACGATTTTCATATTATGAAGCTAATTTAATTAAAAAGAACTGAGCTGCATATTCAGTAATCCTCTTGTACTATTTTCGGTACTAATTATTAAGTAAAGTACTAATTATTAAGATAGTTAATCCAAGTAGGGTCTTTAGCCATAATCTAAACTTCAGATCACTTTTGAAAATTCTAGAGAACACACATAAGCTTTTAAATACTAGAGATTAAATGATGATCAGATAAATCACAGCGATAACAGCAAATATGCACCTCTAGTTACATAATGACTTTCAAGTGTGAATTTAACTTGCAGAATAACTGATTTATATATTTCCATTTTCGCTTTCAAACAGGTATACATTTCTATTACCCCGTTGGATTTCTGTACATTGGTCCAAGAAAGAGTTCAATCATGAACAAAATGGTGCAGGTGGCAGCCACATGTGATGTGCCTATTGTTGACCTTCACCGTGAAGAAATATTTCAAATGAGGTAAATCATGAATACATCTCTTTGTAGTGCATCAGAATATTCATATAAGTAAAATTTGAACGTAATAGTTAATAATTATTGGGGACTAATTGGCAAACGTTCTGTCACTGAATAATTGTATAGCGCTTTCAAATGAAAGAGTACAAGATATGTAACTTTTGCTGTCATTTTTATTAGATATCCGTTTCTGAAACTCCAGAAGAATGAGTACGCACTGCTGGACGACAGTGGGGCTGGACATATCAGCCCTAGAAAAATGGTGGCTGCTCAGAAGAAAGTGGCAAAGCTGCAAGGTTGTCGTATAATTCATGAGGTAGTTGAAGAAGTGGGAGAATTGAAGAATGGTGTGCATCAGGTATGTGAGACTGAATAACTGAATTAATTCTAATAATACAGCATTGTTGGTGCAGTGAATATGTGTTTTTAACAATCATATCACCAGCTAATACGGAAACTAATGTCATGGTTAGTCCAGCCAGTTCAGCATTAAACACCAATATGGAACGAGAGAAGAATAAGTATTGAGTTATGGTGGACACAAAATATTTCTGTTACCTCTTCCCGCAGTCTATTGATTTAGATTTCAACTTCTCTTGTTTGCATTTAGATTTTAATTATCTTCTTCAACTGGTATATATCAATCTTAAGTACTATTTTCAAATCATCTAGTCTAATAACTTGAAATAACATGAAATTTGCTGTACTCTAACTTTCTCAACACAATGTAGTTAAAAATGGCGACAACATCAGGCGGGAAAGTGGCTAGTGACTGACAGCTGTAACGAAGGGTCCAGGTTAGAGTCCCGGAGAATGCATGGATTTAATTTGTCTGACCCTTCATAGGAGGCTGCCTCTATAATAAGGAGATCACCGCGCCCCAGTAAGGGCCAACGCCCATAAATGACTTGAGTCTGCCAATGAGGAGGCGGAGGAGAGTTTAGCATCATTCAACTTTTTACAATCAAAAGTGTGTTCATTGGAGAAGTAGCATTGATTGGTTTTACGCATAGGAATTTTAGGAATCAGTTTGAGCAGAATTTTATTATCTTGATAATTGAATTAGGACATACTGTGCGCGAAGACGTTGATTTCAAATCTAAAATTTTAATGTTAGGTACACTGCTAATTAGGCAATGTAATTCATAATATAACTAATAAAATGCAAATAAAAATATTATATCATTCCTTTTAATTAGTTAAATTTCTAACATCAAAAAGCAAATCTATATCATTAAAGTAAATAATCTGAAACTCGAGTAGGAGACCTTACATATTATCTTAAGCGTTTCTGAATTACTTTATTCCAATTATACTGTTTCCAGGCCTTCCTACTGTACATTTGTACTGCTGTTACTTTTTTATAAATATACGTTGCATCCGATATGGCTTTTTGCATCCGATATGGCTTTATTTCTTAATATAAACTTTTTTATTTCTTTCACAATTCTAGAAATGGTCCCGGAATTTTTAATCTGGAAAACAATTAATGCATATTTTTTCAGCTTTCACATTGCCATAAAATATTCGTGAATAATTCTGTTCGTTTACCAGATTCTAACTGAAAACGGAAATCGTGTGCAAGCGAAAAGGGTATTATTCTGTACTGGAGCATTCACCAATTTCAAGAAATTTGCAGCATTAGAACAACTGAATATCAGAGTAAATAAAGAAACAGTAGCATTCCTTAAAATCTCTACGCTAGAAGCAAAACGAATAAGGTAATGTATAGTTTATTAATTAGAATTTGAGCATTTAAAGTAGATCATTTTAATTAGCTGAATTATTAATAGATTAGCAGCTAAGAAATCTAATTACTCTTGTATGCTTTAACGTTTTCTTCTTATGAAAGCAACTCCATTAAGTAATACATATTATTACTTAGAATGTAAATATTTGAAGCAGTAAAACATTTAAATTAATTGTACTGCAGTTTAAGAGATTAAACAACACATTTATCCTTACCATGGGAACTACATGGGAACTGTATGTTTAAGTTCACTTTCATCACATTAAATTAGTAACAAGGTGACCATAAAACAGGAAAATCTAACTCATTGGCAGTACTTGTCTAAAAGGACAGTCTAACTCATTGGCAGTACTCTGTAAAAGTATCTTGGAATTCTGTAATTGTTTTCATTAATTAGAATTTCTAGTCCAAGATTTTATTTTAGTTAGATATTCAAAATTTAAGAAACGGAAAAAAATCCATGCAAAACGTTTGCATCAGATTTAAATCGAAAGAACAGAATTTTATAAATCTATCAAAACGATACCCAGAAAAGGTAAATGTTTCATTTAAAATTCTATTTTACATAAACTATGATTAATTAAACAGTCTTAATATCTGATTAAAATTCTGATTAATTCACGGATAATTGGAAACTATTGTTTATAGCGACGGTGGCAGTAAAAAATAAATTTAACTGAACTTTGAAATTATCTCCATAGTATGCCCCGTTTAAAATAAAGTTTAATCAAAATAATAACCATAAAACCTTACGCAAAATTTCAATTTTCATGCTGGAAAAATATTCGATTTTTCTTTTTAAAGCCATGCTGATATTCTTCAGACAATTCTGCGAAGGTTGAAGATTTTATCAACCGGAACTTAGTTTCATCTACCTTATAGTCTGTAACCATGTTTACACATTCGAGTACCCCTCAAAAATAGTCGCGTTTCCTGTAATGGCCGCGTTAACCTTTAAACTTCATTATCCTTTTCGCACTCTTTCTCTAATGGCTGTTGTTGTGTTATTGCATTAAAAACGTTTTGTCAGATAAATCTTATGATTTTCAACAGTTTTATTTTTCTTCATAAATATTTCTATATTTTCTTGACTTACATCAAAGAGCTCACATTTTCAAACGTTCAAACAAAGGAAATGATTTCTATAAAGACCTACAATGATATTTTTTCATCGTCATAAAATTAAAATATTACGGATTCATATTTTCAGATATGATTTAGTGTTAAATTCTTTACTTCATTCTGTTCCTTACCAACGATATTCGCTGCATCAAAAACTATAAGTTGTTTCTCATAAGTCTTCAAGCGCCAGCCTGAGAACATGTGGAGCATGATGAACGAATAATCCGCAAAACTGATAGTATGGAGTTCAGTATTCTGTTCTGGTTTATGTTTAACATATTTACAGCAAAACTGATGCACCACTCACATAAAAATATGCATTACTCAAGACATACTGCACAAAATAAAAATGAATAAAAAAATCTATGACACAGACCAGCAAGCAGTTCACGCAAACAATACAACACGCAGTAAGTTCGCATGAAAATATGTTACTGCGATGGTTCACAATTAATATGGTTCACATATTAATAAAGACATGCATCTAAAATTCTGCAGTGCTGCTAAATGTATATGATCTAACGTTCTTTGCTATCATACAGTGTTAATAGATCTCAATATCAAACCTGGCAACTTCTTACATAGACGCGAAGGGGAACTCAACAGGAAAAGGGTGTAAAAGCCCTTTTATTACTACAACTCTTTCATAGAGAAGCACGAACTTGCGCGCGTATAACAGCACCGACTACTTTCGGTGGGAACTAAAGGTAATTTAACAATAGATACAAAAAGTAAAGATGTAGTGCTAGACTACACAATTTAATTTAATTTAACAGGCTGATTCAGAAACCAACATCGGCGATATACTAACTAGACGGTCAGGATGCTTAGCCCCTACTAAGATTAACAGCTGGAGGACAAAATAGCAAACGTGCATTTCAATAGTGAAATCATGCTTTGTCTAAACTTTTCGTTTCAATCGTCTAAATACTCTCGTTCACCTTCTTAATTTGTATCCTGGCGGGGAAATAAATGAATTCAGAAAAGACACTATAAATTAATTTACTGATCAGTAAAACTAAGAAGGACTCTACAAATGTACTAAAAATTTATAATAATATTATTAAACTTATAATAATTGCACTAATAAAATTTCCAATGAAATGCCATATGACAATGTTATTCTTAAGAAACTTATGACCTCTTAGGCTCTTATGACCTTCAAAATATGTGCATGTATTTGTATATAGCTGTGTTAACCATATACGTTTTTGCTTGTTAACTCTGCTAATGAAAGTCTTATTATGCATTCTCAAATTAATATACGTAGATGTTTACGTCCTCGCAACAGTTTGGTAGAATAAGGTTTAAATTCTGAACAATATAGCGCAGGCGTCGTACACATTGAACTGTGCCTGTGATTACGCTTTCCAGTATCTTGATCAGTCCAGTAAGACTATAACTTGTACCGCTAAAGGCAAAACCCAGGTAAATTATTTATTTACTCCTGTCTTGTTTTATGAATGGCTTATAAATACTTGATAGTTAAGTTTTTAATACGTACTTTTTTATTTCATAAGTGTTGCATCTTTTTGTTGTTTGCTGCAATTTACTATTTTTGCTTTTTTTTTTTAAGGTTTATTAATTTTTTATCCATGTTATAACATTAGAATTAGTTATATGGTAAAATGTTTTATTATTTTATTTATTTGTGCGCAGTTTCGGTCATAACAGTTTATCAAAAACTATATAAAAATGATTCTTACATATTTAATCAATTTAAATCACATTATTAACTTTTCGTTTTTCCCCAGCATAACAGAACGTTTACCACAATTTACATTTTGGATAGTACAATTAATTCTTATTGAATTTTTAGGATTTTTTACGCTGATGTTTCGTATAGTTCTCTGACCATAAATATTTGAAATGAACTATAAATTAATTCTAATAATTACTGGTAAAGAATTGAAATGTATACCTCAAGGGACCAGATTTCAGTTCTTGACGAAAGTATTTCTTCCATTTTCACTCATTGTATTGCATCATTAAACTGAGAATAACGCTTAGAGATAATAATTTTTAACTCTTAATATGTAATAAATATCTGATTTAATGTACATTTAACATAGCGGTATAGAAAATACAATAAATATAGCCTAATAAAAATCGCTATAAACATCGACTAATAAAAACCGTTATAACCATAGCCTAATGAAAACCGTTATAAACATCGCCGTAACGATGCATTTGAGTTCGAAACATTCAGAACAATATGTTCTGAAAATATTTTTACTACATATAGATCACATTTGAATTTTATTTCAGGCTGAAGAACTAATATAGTACATATATCGAATTGGAGCTGAAGCAGAAAGTAAAATCTATTGTCATACATTCAAGAAGAAACTGTTAAGGCTCAGCTGTCATTTTGAATGATGATAATACTACCTTGAATATTAAAAGATCTAGTTATCTTTGTTATTCAAGGTAGTATTGTCATCATACGAAATGAAAGCTGAGGCTTTACAGCTTCATCTTGCCTAGCTGAATTTTGAGAATTTGCCTTGATTTAGTTAGCCCTTCTTGGCATTATGTATCCAAATCCAGTATCTGCAGCATGACTGCAATGTTCCTTAGAAGTGTGCTAAATAAATTATGTCTTTTACATCTGCAATTCGGCCTGAGATCTTCTACAAATCGAACAATTAGTCTGAATTAAAGATCCTTTTGTGGCAAAACAAAAGGCCTCAATTTGAAAAATCCAAAACTCTTAGAATAAAAGGCTAAGGAAAACTAAATTCGCAAAACTGACAATGTCGGGATTCTTCTCGATATGGCAGAGACTGAGCTCCGACATCTTGTAGATTCAATTTAGACAGAAAATGAGACATTTACTGTAATATTTTTAGCTGTTTGAGAATGGACATTAGTTAAATAAACCTCAGTTCTTCAATTATAGGAACTAGTCCCTATATAATGATACGCTCAAACCTGTCCTATCCTGAACACACAAACATTTTTAGCCGAAAGCAAATTATCATAATACATCCCTACTTGTGAGATTTGAAGTCCTGAGATTAAGATCTCCATTTTAGTAGCCCAAGTTTGCCGTTTTGACGCGTTTAGGAATTTTCAGATTGAACCCTTCAATTCTAGGTAGGTATTAATTGAAAAGGGGAAAGAAAAACATCCAGGAAAGATTCTAATTATGACGTAAGCTCTAGTATCGGAACATATATATGAACAGCAGGACCACTTGGAAGGGTATGGAGGGCAGATTTAGACTCTAAGAACTATGGACTTTAAGAACTTTATATTCAATTCAATTGCATTTTATTTTTATTCATTATTCCTCTTTTATGTAAACATATTTCAAAAAATATACTTTTAAATTATATATATGAATATGTAATATGAATAATGTTAATTAATTTAGTTATTAATATTTACAATAAAAATAAATCTAGGTAATGATGAATGTGGAACAATACCTGTTAACTTGGTAAAGACCAAGTGTTCCCATTCATCATCAAATGAACTGAACTGTACTCAGATACTTTCTATCATATTTATATGGTTTATCTGTAGGAGGTTTTAAAGAGGGTTATTTTTGCTTAGATATTTCACACTGAAACATACGAAACATATAGTTAACATCATTATACATCTTTTAAGTTGCTAATTTACAAATTCGACTGTTAAATTCCAAACAGAGTTTTGACTGTTATGCAATAATGCGCGGTTGCAAATTTTAGTAATGCATGTTATTAGAATAGCAACAGACTACACGCATTAGGTTCTTGAATATTATTGTTATTTTTCAGCTCCATGCCTAGTATTGTCTGCCTCAGAGATAAGGAAAAGGATAGAGAAGCTTTAGGAGCGTATATTTTGCCTCCTGTCCAATATCCAGACGGTAATAATTTTAAAATATTATCTCGTTCAGAAATTTGCTTTTACTGTAAGTTAAAATATTTTTCATTTTCTCATTTCCAGCATAAGAACTGAGAAAACAAATCATATATTATGGGAAGTTTCTAGTTTGTAGATTACTTAAGCTATGGCAGATTAGATATATCGAAATAAGTATAATAAAATCGCGGCTATCCAAAAAGCTCGCCAAATACCGGATTTCAGATACGCGAAAATTTCGGGTAACTGAGCATATAAAAATGCAATTTATGGTAGAAAAGCCAAGCGAATAAAAGAAAAAATCTTCTTGTCTAAACTTATGAAAAGAACCTTATTTTTATTATCAACTTGATATAAAACACCTACATTTAAATTATGTAAGATTTCGAAAGAAAAAAGTGCATTTCAGCCATATTCGTAAACTCCGAAATGAAATATCATATTGGATTACGAAACTCCGCCAATCGTGAAAGTTGATGAAGATCTCACCAGATTTATGCCAGTCATTCCGGCAGAAGTTCAATGGAATAAATCACTGTTTATTAAGTTAATCAACATATACAAGTTACAGACATGGCATATAAAAACTTGAATCGCTAGTCATAATTTCTCACTTTGCAAAGTCAGTATGGTGTACGTCGAAAACTTCGCAGACGGAAACGTTGCGGAGAAAACAACGCAAGGCGAAAATATCGTGGGAGAAAATAAAGCAAAGAGAAAACATCGCAGTTCTAAAACATCGTGGTACAAAATATTGTCGTCGAAAATAAAGCGCTTCAAAAACTTCGCAGTTTAAAAACATCGCCGTCGAAGATATCGTGGTAAAAAATAAAGTACCTACAAATCATCGCATGACGATAACATCGCAGACATACCTTTTTCAGGCTTTAATAATTGTGAAAGAATACTCGCATAATGATTTGCGAACGCAAGATGGAAAGAAGGATAATTTTTACTTTCATATTTTTATTAACTAATAAATATTTACTGAAAATGTAAAATGGAAACTTAAGCATAGAAAATTAATGCAACTTATAGTACTTAATAGAATTTTAAACTGACATAGTTAACTAACAAAGGTCATTAATAAATTATCTTTTCTAAAGTTTTACTGGTAATTTTTCTTGAAAAGTATAATTTAAAAAAAGATTAGAAAAAAAGGAAGATAAGTAACTGCATGCCTTTATCTATGAAAAAAAAACTGCTAAGTTAATCATGAAATTATTTTCGCCACTTTTGCTATTTTTTTTTTTTTTTTTTTTTTTTTTTGTTTAAATTTCTTCTTTAGTTTTTACAGATTTATTAGTTAATAAAAAATATGAAAGTAAAAATTATCCTTCTTTTCATCTTGCGCGCTTGAATCATTATGCGAATATCCATTTACAATTATTAAAGCCTGAAAAACGCATGTCTGCGATGTTATTGTCATGCAATGATTTGTAGGTACATTATTTTTTGCCTCGAACTTTTCGACAACGATGTTTTTTATCTGCGAAGTTTTTGAACCGCTGTATTTTCGACGACGATATTCTGTACCACGATGTTTTAGAACTGCGATATTTTCCTTTTGCTTTATTTTTTCGCTTTGCGTTGTTTTCTCCGCGACGTTTTCGGATGTAACGTCAGTATCTATCTATTTTCACATAAGTCGCTAAAATTGGAAAATATTTCGGCTACATTAACTTTCCGGTTAGTTAAATGCAGAATAATTGGGTTTTTACTGTACTATATATACTCTCATAAAATAACTGGCAAACAAATCAAATTATTATCTTTCATAAGAAAATAGCGCCGTAAAAATTTGCAATTTTTAAAATGCGTTAAACATTTTAGACTTTCCATAGCATATTCGTTTAATAAAATGTGCTTCATTTCTGTTTCGTTTCCATATATATCATACCACAATATATTAGATTTTTCGCATACACATGCACGCATTATTTAACAATTATTACTGTTTTAGTAAAATAATTCAGTTACTAATTATAAAATATAGAAAAGTAATCAATTAAGGATTTACAGGAAAGGAGAGCGCATAGTCATTTTCTTATCGATTTTGCTCAAATTCTGTATCTTGAGGTACAGAATCTTGAGGTAAATAAATGTGTGCAAAGAAGCGCCCTCTTCTCAAAGATAAAAAAATTTAAAAAAATGCCTATAATAAAATTCGAAGCAAAATTTATGCTATTCATATTCTTTTCTAAGTAGCGAATACCATTAGCCTTGTAACATTGATATCTCTTAACACGAAGTCCTCAATTTGAATCCCTCCGATTGCTTTCACAGTATTTTTTTAATGTTATTATGTTTTGAAAGCGATTTAAAGTATGAAATTCTTTAGACATTAACTTTAGAAAAATTACTAAATATTATTACTAAAAATATTTATTAAGACAAAAATTTCAATTTTTTGTTCCACTTTTTTACATAATGTCGAATACATAACGGAACATAGGAATAATGATGCTTTATCACAGTTTTCCCTGGAAATCAAAAATAAATAAATAAATAAATAAATAATAAAAAAATAAGGAACTACTCTTATATGCGCCCTCAGGTCGGGAAACTCCACGCTGCCATATTATTATCTAAATTTTTTGTCTACATTTCGAACTTTAAGCCTATAATGTCTCCAAAAACGCGGTTTTTGCACATGCAAAAACCATGTTTTGAACACACAATTTAAGCTAAAAATCCAAAACAAAAGCAAAAACTTTAGATAACAAAAACGTAAAATTTCTAACCAAAAATATTTGGCAAGAATCCATGTACACAGCGTCCTGTTTAAACTTTAAAAATAATCTACGAATTGCACAATCTAGGCATTGCGCACAAATCAACAAAATAAACTAAAATAACTAAAATTACAAATAATTCAAAAAACAGCAATACCAGCAGAAATTCAAGTAAAAAACAATGAACATAACATTCTACAAAACAAAAACAGTAAAATAAATTTCACTTACCATAATACATTCGTTAATAAAATTTCGCCAGTCACACAACGTCTGTAGACAAAAGCGCCACGATTTTGCTATATTACATGTCTTTCTGCGATTCAAAATTTCGAAAGTAACGATAAAAACTTCCTCCAAAGTTAACTTACTACACGAAAACCACGATCCAAATCTTAAACGCCGGTGACAGCCACATACTTTACCAACAAGCATTTGACTGCAAATCCACACAAGAACTATCAGAAATGCCCTTCTTCGTCCGAGTTCTCATAGCAGCTCCGCATTTCGGACTAAGTTTTAAAAGTCACACAGAAATTCCCAAAATGCACTTCGATCCTCATAAACACACCCGTGAACAAAAGACTTGTTAACAACTCCAACATCGTACCTTTTGATACTAAATTTACTTTCCACACAATCTAAAATTCGCGACTGAAATCTTGCCACTACGTCTATCATTGCAACATAGGCCATTTCAAAACACGCACGACATGAACCAATGAGCAATTAAACCACTCCAGCAAAAGAGTTTTCAACGTCAAAAGGGTTGCCATACAACACGCAGTCGCGGCAAAAACCAGCGCAGAACACATATCGCCACATTTGGTGAACTTAGGGCACAAATAAGAGTAGAGCCAAAAAGAATTCTTGAATGAAAATGTGCATTTCTATTGGAACAAAAAATGGACTGTACATTTCCCATGAATTTCCATTGTAGTTCATGATATTTCTCACACCTGTCTTCCCAACAATTAGGGAACTCTTGTTTCTTTATCTACATTTTCATGTTTCAAAAGCAGTATAATATTATAAGGTATTTCTCCCGCCTCCCTAGCGTGCCTTCGTGGTGTAGTGGTCAGCACACTGAGCTGGTATTTCAGAGGTCCGTGGTTCGATTCCCGGCGAAGGCGATTGCTAATGTTTCATCTTTCTGGCTTCAAAAAATCCTAATGCCTCTATAATATGATTAAAATTATAAACCTCATAAATCGTAATTTATTCAATTTATCCAATACCAGTACTCTACTTCTTTATATTTTTCGATGACTTAGTTATGAATAATTTCTATTCGGAAATATTCTAGTGCTTTATTTTTTATATTATCTCCTTAAAAATAATTTTCATGGTGAAATTTTCATCATAATAAAAATTAATTAAAGAATAATGAAAAACTTTAAGGGAGAGGATAACTTGGCGGGAACTGCATTGGAGCACAGAACTTCGAATTTGCCCTCTATGCGACACCATAACCTGGAGGACTTCACTACCATGTAGAGAATTTAAATTGTATGTATGTTACTCCAAACCTAAGCCTAGAATTGTCTCGCTTGTTTTTGAGAGATGCACTCTTTTCCTTTACATATTTCGGTTTAATTGATTATGGCAAAGTTCTAGGGTAATCTGTCTAAGGGAAGGGGGATGCCTTCGTACAGGACTTTCAAAGGGAAACTGATTCGTATACACGTTATACATGGGGAGAATAACGAAGCCGATACAACCAGCCTTTAATGGAACCCAGGTGGGAACTACCACTGTTCAGCGACTTTAACCGCTTGGCCATTGGTAGGTTCTCTTTACATACACGTTTATTTAAATTAATCTATAATTATACAGAATATGGGCGAAATCGATGACCTAACGGCTGTTCTTCTGTGAGTAAAAAGGGGGCTATTTCTTAGCGATTAATTATTTAATATTTCAGCTTACATTACATAATGAAGCAGTTAATACAATCATTTGAAAAAAAATAGGCCTTAAAAGAAAAAATTTAAGAAATGAGAACCTAATACATTCAATGTACATAAAATGCAGAAAGTGGAAAAAAAGCAATGTGGCCGACCGATGGTCTCGGAGCAATGTGACCGATCGGTAAAAAAGTACAGTCAAAAGTCGTTCATTCGGACACCCATAATCCGGAATGATCTATAATCCGGACCTTAAAGCTAAAAACCTTCTGCGCATCGCGTAAGACCTTTACCGCTACGAATTTGCGTGTGCGCGTGCGCAAAATACGTTTACGAATGCGCGTTTAATGTATAACCGACGGGATAAGCTAAGCTAAAATTATCTAATTATCTATTTCAGTTAATGTTGCAGATTGCGTTGTTCCTTAATCTTCGAATTGGATCCGGATTATTATTTTTTGCAGACTGTTAGAGCAAATTTATAAAAGTAAGCTTGAACTTTCGATTATGTCAAATAGAATTTCCGATATATATTTATTAATATGTAAAGGATCTACAAAGCGAAAGTATCTTTCGGATGTCCATTCAAACAAAAAGTGGAATTGCTGCAAAAAAATGGATAAAGGCATATCCTTTGTTTATCTAAACTTTAACGTTTGTTTATCTAAACTTTGTTTATATTTAACTCCGCGGCGGCGTGCAATGAATTGGAAGTTGATCTGTCAGCACTATCCTTATCTTAAGGGCAGATGTTTTTATTTTATTTGATTTATAATTGCTTACTCAATGTAGTATTTCATCTCGATGTACTCAGTCTTTGGTATGATTTAAATCAAATGCCTCGTCATTATAATTCTCTTCCGATAACGAAGAAAGTGACAGAGGTTATTGAAAACGAAAAAATTTCGATTGACAAATTAGTCGGTATTCTCGACACAGCAATTATAGGACTTGAACAGCGGAACTTTGTAACTGAACAAGAAATTATGTTTGTTTATAGAATTAAAGAGAATGTATTATCACATAAAAAACGAAGCAACTTAAACAACTTACATCGAAAGAAATGTTTAATAAAGTAAACAAATAAATATTAAGCTTTTTTTTTGTAAATTTTGATACCCTTTAAATCATAATTTTCTTTATTTCGTAAATTACGGTTTCATATTTTTAATTTTATAATTTCTGCATGCCATTTTACCAGATTTAAACTGATGATCTATAATCCGGAAAAATCGATAATCCGGAATCGCCGAAGTCCCGACGAGTCGGGATTAACGACTTTTGACTGTATATAAAAGCTGAAGATGTTAATATAGGATATTGCAACCTCTAATTCAAATATAAGCTACTCTTTGGCATGAAACTGAGACATACATTTCAAAGATTATATCCTGAAGTGTAAGATAAGTACCAGTTGTTCGATTACTTCGTCGATATTGTCTAGCAATGGAATAAGTTGGATTGTATTATTTAATTTAGAGGAAACACACGAGAAATAATCACCTAGCGATCTCCCGGCGAGGACAGTTCTAGATGCGTCACCTCGTGTACCAAAGTCATTTAATTAAGGAAATATCGAACAATTAAACCAGATACATGAAGGATTTGCGTTACTACAACAATAAATGATCTGTGCTATGTGTGGTCTGTGAAATATAACCTTTGATGCTGTAATAAGAATTGTAATAAAACTAGTGTAAAAATATCGTCAATATAATTTGTTTCTACAAATATCAACATTATGACGCCCAGTTATTAGACAGTCATGTGACAAGGCTTGCAAAGTAATCGTGCCCCGAGTACGGAAGGAGAGACTTGCGGCTGCAGCAGAAGCTTATACTATGAAGTCCACTATGTGTGCCCGCACGTAAGCATAAGTTAATTGAATGATTGTGCAAACAGGTTTTCATAACAGAAAATTACATCTGAGTACTTAATACTTTTAATCGAGCCAAAGCCATTATTCATTGCACCTTTCATAACTAAAGTAAAACATGTTTGCTGATAGACAATCTGTCTTCTAATCTATCAGTAACGCCAACTACATTTCACTACTCATATCTACATGCAAACATTCTGCCTAATTCTCGGAACTCAATTCTGTATCTTGTGGATCAAAGCATATTTAGGAATAATGACCTAGCAGACATATTACTAAAGAAACTGCAATGGAAAATATTCAAAAGATAGTAAAACATTCATGGACTATGCCTTTCTTTCATGTATCCTCAGCAATAGATTGACAAACATCAGGTAGTGTCGATGATTAATCCCTTGCATTATAACGTAACCGTTATGGAACTAAAAGTGAAAAGACTTGACCCTAGAAATGACAAAAATTATGACTTGCCTGGAAAAAAATTATGAGCCAGGCCTGGGAAATGCAGTTATTTTAAAATATAGATTTTTATGAATTCAATGTCTTCTGCATAAAATGTAATGCGCTTAAAATGAGCAGTTCACATATTTCGGCATCTGTTTTCTGTGTGGAATGGCTGACTGAAAGCGTCCAAATTTATGATTTTAACAAACCGTAATGGAGCATGATGCCCGCATTTCTAAACCTGTTTCTGTATCCAACAAGCCTTGATATTTAATTTGTATCTGTATATATATTCCACTGCGAGCAGCAACAAGTGGTGGTGATAACGTTCAAAGTTTATCCATATTTAATCCGGAACGAACCATAAACAAAAAAAAAAAAAAAAAAAAAAAAAAAAAAACGGGAGCACAACGGCAAACTGCATGACAGGTGCAAAACCAAAATTGAATGGATCTTTCGCTGTATGGTTCAACAGGCTAAGTTATTTACATGTTTCATTGCAGCGAAAAATGTAATTAATGTCGATGATGCAGCGAAAAGTGTAAATTTCTTACTTTTCATTTTTGTTTTTGGCATTTTTGCACCCATTATAAAGTTTGGAAATGTTTTTCTGGTTTATATATACATGTCATGATATAAAATTAATGATTTGCTGCTTAGCGGTGGCATAATAGATGAGTAGCGAAGGAACTTGGCAAGGCAAACATGTCCGGATTCAAGATATCTTTATTATTGAGGAAAGCACGTCAGTTTTCGCAATATTTGGTTCACATAAGGACGAGCCTCTTATGCGCTCTACATTTTTGCTAGATCAGCACATATTCTTTGAACAAAGAAGGTAGCCGGAAAGCTTAAGCGAAAGTAGCAGCACACACATAATTGCAGAAAGACGTCTGGCCCCGATGAAAGCACAAGCAAAAGTGACGTATCAGTTCGTAGAAAAAAGGGAGGGAGGGAAAAGTTTCAGTTTTAAGTTTTGGTTTACAGTTCTGTGATTGGTCAAAAGGCATCTGCATTAAGGGTTGGGTAAGATCGCATGATTAATTTGAATAACGCAATTTAGACTTAAGCGCTATTTTTAGGACAGATAGATGAAGTTCCCAAATGAAAATAAAAGAGGTTATAGTGAATTAAATTTAGAAGTTTGCTTTCATATTTTTTATCTTACACATTCCCCCTTTCAAGAGGGCCTTTTGAGAGAAAAAGCATTAGGACAGCAAAAATATGAGAAATATAATTTTGAAACATGCCAAATATATTCAACTTCGAACAATAAAACTATAATACGTAACATTTTGAGTTCAATAATAATTTGCCCTATGATGATTTGAGTCTAATCTGTAGAAAGTTCTTTTTTCTGGAACATTCACATCCCAATTTTGATATTTCAGGGATGGATTTCCAAAACGTTTTGCACACCAGATAACAATTATAAAAATTTTATATACCCATTAGTTATTACGAATGATCATAAATCTTTAAATTTACACCAATTTTCACATTTATAAGTAATACTTTATCATTTGTAATAGCATGATTGAAATTATGGTTTTCACTTTCATTACTCCATTTTACAATTTTGACATTTTAAACAAACTGGAAGACCCCACGGCTTTCTCCTAGTACACACATCCAGCTATTTGGGCAAATCCACTTTAAACAGATTCATGTATTAAATTTTCATGAGTGGTTAGTGAACTGCGGTACAACATTCCATTATATTAAAAAAATCACACACCATCATATGAAAAAATAAAAATTGTATATAATAAATAAAGTGGGAGGGAGGCCTTCAAAGTTTATATTATATTACATGACGAGGGTAACAGGAACAATTATGCACCGGTAAAACAAGCCTCTGTTTCTGAACCAATACTCCCTCATACTTCATATTTAACATACAATTATTGATAATTATAACATTCATTCACCATAATACCAAACAAATTTTAAAACAATTTACTCTTAATTAAGACACAATAACACGCCGAACAAATACTAATTCAGAAGTCAAACAACAAACATCAGCGTTATATTTTCAAATTTTCACAGGACTAGTTTCGACGGTTTTACCGAACCACCATCTTCAGCTGCAAAAGCGCAAATGAACGAGATAGGATAAGACGACGAAAACCACGTGGAAAAAAGAAAGCAAAAAATAAGCCTTTTTGGGGCTTCTATAATTAAGAACACAATAACACGCCGAACAAATACTAATTCAGAAGTCAAACAACAAACATCAACGTTATATTTTCAAAGGATCACCGAAACTAGTTCTGTGAAAATTGTATGTGTATGAATGAAGAAAACGGCCCTTCGGAAGTCATATAAAATCTGAAAGCTATCAAATTGAAACAAAAATTGTTTCATTTTAATCATTTTGAGTTCCCAATATTTAACTGAAATTTTTATTTATCATCTTTTGCCTTTTATGGAAAGGCAGTTTTTCACTCACGTTTCCTCAAACACTGAGGTCGTAAGTGTGAAAATTTTGAAACATTTTTTCTTTGCCTTAATAAGACTGTGATAGAAATTTTATGCTGCATTTACGGAACATCTGTACACCTAATTTACACTTTTATAATTTAGTTACACTTTCTAACTAATCTTTTACTAATTAATTTACACTTTTATAAATTTAGTTGTGACTGAAAAAAAAGAGGCAAAAAAGGTACAACTGATAAAACCTGAACTCTTGATATGAATTTAAAATAAAATATTAATAATAATTACTTAAGTACAAATAATCAAAAAATAATAAAAACTTTTTATACATCAAGTGTTTTTCTTCCCTCTATCTTCTCATTTCTTCATAGGAAATTACTATCTTAAGATTGGCCATATCGGCGGTGGGGACTGGGAAGTAAAATCTCTGCCTGAAATCAAACAGTGGTACCTCTCAAAGGGGGACGAGCGAGTAATAGATGTTTACTCAAAACTGCTTATGGAAATGCTTCCAGGTGAGTATCGCAGCATTTAACATAAAAAATAAATTAAGTAGAATATCTTTACAATTTTTAAAAACTCAGAAATGACACAAAATTTAATGAAAGGAGCCTCGGAATCTTCTCGATTTTCTGTACTTTAGAAGACGTCTGTGACACAAGGAAATTATTCAGTATTTTATAAATAGTTATGTAAATTTCATTTTCAGCAACTTCAAATTTTTCTCTTTTTCAGTAAATGAATGCTCAGACGGAAAGATTGTGAAAAATTTATGAAAGTACAAAACTGAGCTGAAATTTATGAAAGTACAAAACTGAGAAAGTACAAAACTGAGCAAAATTTATGAAAGTACAAAACTGTTATGAAAGTACAAAACTGAGCTTTATTCTTTCTTTCGATATAATGTCTGTTTTGATACAGCTCACTATTACGATAAATAACACTGAGAAAATTATGAAAGTTATGCTTGAAAACTCTGAAAAAAATTTTTCAGGGAAAATAAAGAAGTGCATTTTAATCATACCGACTGAAATATTTTGCTTTAAAGGAAACATTTTCAATTTAAACAATAGATATTATCCTAAAATGTATAAAACATAATTCAGCTTATAAATTTAGAAGTCAAACAACAAAAATCAGCGTTATATTTTCATATTTTCACAGGACTAGTTTCGATAGTTTTACCGAACAATCATCCTCAGCCGCAAAAGCGCAAATGAACGAGATAAGATATAATGATTGGATAAGATAAGAAAGCCCAGACAGGAGATAAGCAACTGGCGCCATCTGTTGATGAAACCAGAACTAAAACATAATTTCCTTATAAGCTGAAGGCAAAGATGGATTGGAATTAGGGTCGTTAACTAGAACAGAAAAATTTTTTTGAATGTCAAATGCCTCTAGAAAATCTGATTCACCAATGGAAGATGTTTTGTGAATATATTCCTGACGATATTTCCGACACTGATAGTAGTTCTGATTCTGATTTCAAGTATATTGAAGATAGTTATAGCGAAACTGATGTGAATTCCTCGGATTCCTCTGCAGATAATGATGAATCTGAAAATACAGTTTCTATTGAAAACGTTCGGCAGTGGTGCAAAATATTACATTATGCAAATATTTTCATTAGTATATATGTTTTACCTTTGTATTTTATAAAATAAATAATAATTTAACCAATATTAATTTTCAAAAAAAATTTTTATATCATTATTCTTCAATTTCAGAATACTGGCAACCTTTATCTGTGACCTAATTCTATATTGAAAAGAAAAAAAAAAAAAAAAAAAAACCTCTTTTACAAAAAATTTTTGTATATTTTAACTCTAACATATTTAAAATATGTAATAAAAAATACGCAATTTTTGAATCTATTTTGATAAAAAAAAGTACGCAGTGAGAGGGTTAAAGGCTGAAGACAAAGATGGATTGGAATTAGGGTCGTTAACTAGAACAGAAAGATTTTTTTTGAATGGGAAAGGCCTCTAGAATATCCAGTTCACTAATGGAAAATGTTTTCTAAATAATTTTGGCAGCAGAAAAATTGAAAGTGTGATTTTCGGACGAACAATGTTGGGCAACAGAAGACTTTCCTTTTTTCTGACATATGCCTCATGTTCCTTAACGCGAAATTTTAAGGTTCTCTTAGTTTGGCCAATGTAAATTATGCCACACTGGCAAGGAATCCTGTAAATACCCCAGGAATTCATATCCGGAATGGAGTCCTTGAGTATGGAACTCGGAATTTTATTGATGGGAGAATAAAAGACCCGAAAGTTAAATTTCTGCGAAATACGTTCAACTTTATAGCTAATTGATGGAAAGAAGGAAATGACAACAGAATTTTTATAGTCTCCTAAAACAAGAGTGCCTTTTGGTGTGTTGAGATGAGAATTTTTTAACTGTTTGATTAATAATGTAGGATGAAGTTCCTGTCAATAGCTATTGCTTTAAATAATTTAGTTCTTCTTCAAGGGATATTTTGGAGGAGCAAACTTGAAGAGCACGGAAAACATAGGAATAAAATGAAGCTAACTTTTGTTTAGACGGATGACATGAAGTGTGGTGGAAGGTAAACCGATGAAACCGATGAATGTTTACGGTAAGCCGTAGTACTGAAGTTGGATGTGTTACGTGTGACCAGAATGTCGAAAAACGGAAGAGAATTGCAAGTCTCAAGTTCAAAAGTGAATGAATAGCAAGATCAATAGAATTCATTGTTGAAAGAACTTTATTTAAATCATCTTTATTACCTTCAAACAGGGTAAAAAGTATCGTCTACGTAATGGAACCATGCCGGGAAGTTTTAATGTTTCAAACAATTTTGATTCCTAATAATGCATGTAGATATCAGCCAGGATGGGAGTGAGGGGGCTTTCCATGGCTAATCCCTCAGTTTGCTCGTAATATTTATTTTGGAAAAACAAAATGTGTTTGTTTCAAACAGAGTTGAGTGAGAGAAATTAGCTCATCAATTTCGATGCAAGAAATGAAATTCACGAAATCTGGTTTCTAGACATCTTAATGCACCTCCACTGGAACATTGGTGAAAATGATTTTGATTTTACATCAAAAGAAACCATGAGTAAATTTCTAGGAGAAAATGTTTTTTAACCTTTTTTACAAACTCTATTGAATTTTTATTGTGTAAATGTTATTGTCTAATAGAGTTGAAAATCTAGAAACTAAATATTTAGCTAATGGATATGAGGCAGTACCTGAGTTTGATACAATAGGGCAGAAAGGAATACCACTTTTATGAATTTTGGGAAGAGCATATAATCTGGCAACAATTCGCAACAGATGAGATAAGCGAATGTTTTAAGTTGCTTGAAATGATTCGTTGAAAGATTTGATTGCAGTTTTTCATTTTGACAGGTCCGAAGGTGAAGGATCTTTAGGGATCGGATTATATGGTTCGATTTTAAGAGTTTAGTGACACCATCAATGTAAGTGTTCTTATCCATGACAGCTATCTGGCCACCTTTGCATGCCTCTGAAATGATAATATACGGGTTAGAATGAATTTCGCGCATTGTAGCTCTTTCTCTCAGTTAGATTTGGTTTCAAAGGTTTTATTGAAAGAGTTCATTTATTAATTTATTTATTATGAATTTCACATCATATGAGCGATAAGATGCCTAATCATTTCTTTCTGTGAATCTGAAAACTTTACTGAACTTGAAAGTTTTTTTCGATAGGAGCCAAAATCTTTGGAATCGAGAGTTTACAGGTTTGTGAGAAGTTAAAATTATATTTTAGACTTCTCTCTTGTTCTTCTGAAAGACTAACATTAGAAATATATTAACTATTGGCTTGATGTTTACAATGGGAAGATTTTTTTGAACTACTGGAAGACTGTAAAAAAAGTTTTCGAATATAACTGCAAGGGTGTTTTTATGACGGTTAACTGCATTCTCCGTTCTAGACCAAGACTTTTGTTTCAAGGGCAGTGAATTTTGGATATGAATTAGGGAGTTCCAGATGAAGCTTATAGAGTTCATGTTCAATTTTGGACAATTGTTGACGTGTAATTCCTACGATAGACGATCAAAAAACTTTCAGTCGCGTTTCGAGAATTCTTTTAACGCAGCTGCTTATTCGGCCATCAAGGGATCACTACAGGATCCTGCCGTTGGCTAATTAATTGCCAACTAAGAGAGCCTTAAAATTTCCGTTAAGAAATGAGGCATAGGTTAGAAAAAAGGACACACCCAGAAGTCTTGTTGCCTAGCATTCTTGGTCCAAAATCACAATTTAAATTTTTCTGCTGACAAATTATTCAAAAAACATCTTCCATTAATGAACTGTATTTCTATAGGCATTTCATTCAAAAAAAATTCTGTTCAAATTAACGACACTAATTCAATCCATCTTTCCTTCGGCTTTAAAGAAATTTTTAGTTTGGTTTCATGAACAGATGGCGCAGTGGGTTTTCGTGTCCAGGCTTCTTATCTTATCTAATATATATTTCTCTTCATTTGCGCTTTTGCAGCTAGGATGATGGTTCGGTAAAACCATTGAAACTAGTCCTGTGAAAATTTGAAAATATAACGCTGATGTTTGTTGTTTGACTTCTAAATTAATATTTGTTCGGCGTGTTAATTTATCTTAATAATTCAGCTTCTCAAAACTGCAGAGAGGAGAGCTATGTCACTTTTCAGGACATTTTGGTGTCACGGCTCTTTCTCGTGGTACAGAAGGGGATAAATAACTTAATTTTTCTGCGGGAAGTGCATCGCATGCATCATACGATGATTATATTCGCAAGAATCAGCAGTGGTATCTAATATAAATTAAATGCATTTAAAATTATATCTTTTAGGTATTTTATGGAGAAAACTAAACTGAGGGCGACTTCTCAGGGGTGTTGGTTTCTAATGAAGTTTGGTTGAAATCACTGGTTACAAAGGTCATCCGTCACTGCTAGTACGTAGGTATAGATTAGACACATCATTAAAATAAAATTATATGCCACCAGTAACCTAAACATTGATGCTAAATTGCTGTCAGTATGAGCCAGTGAAGCAAGTGACGCAGTAGATCCAGATTTTTTTTTAATTAAAATTAATCGGAAACACATTAGTGCCTAACGTGACTGTTGATGACTGATGAGATACATGTTGGAAATTAGTGACATTCAACCCATGGATCAACAATAAGCTGTGGAGCATTTGAATTTAGATAGATTTTTAAATTACAATTAACTGGACGGTCACCGATGCTCATAAATACTGGTGGTTACTGCTAATCTACCGACTGATGGTCATTTGGTCAACCCATAAACCACAGATGCGGGATAATGCTCCTTAACACATTATCTTATTATTTTTATCCTTTCTGTCAATTCTACTCTTGTAACTCTTGTTAAATTTAGCTAATGAGTATAAGAACAGAATTCTTGAGCCGACAACCGAGATAGTGGTTAGCGACGCTGACTGCTGTACTGAAGTGCCCGGTTTCGAATCCCGGAGAGGGCACTGGTGTTTGTAAATCTATAGTATCTGTGCGG